TCTCTTGTTTAACTCAGGGGGTCAGTTTCAATTTCTCAGTCCCCATCACTTTTTCTTAATTTTCATTACAGTCCCATAATTCTCATTACATACAGCTTATTTGCCATTACAGTATGACTCTACTTGCCAAATTGCACAAGGGATTACAGAGAATATTCAGCAACGAAATCGGTATGAAAGGAATGGTGAAACTACAGGAAGGTCCAACCAAGCGAGAATGGCCAACCCCGTGGCTCTTTGAGGAGTCAGAGCAGATCAGAGGCTTGAGACTTGATGAAATTCGGCAACAGCTGCAGAAAGTTTTTCAAGAACAGGATGCAGGCCTTGATGCCCTTTCTTCTATCTCAGGTCACCAAAAACAAATGGGGCAGGAAATTTGGGAATGAGCTGGATGAAGAAAATGAGATGATGAAGGATCTTGCCAACCTGGTGGATAACACAGGCGAGAAGCTTTGTCCCAAAACCAGGTATGTGAATTTGGTGGACAGAAAGCCAACATCCTGTGGGCTGGTAATGGCGATTTTATTGGTGCTCATGGCTCTTGTGGCTATTGCAGTGTGGTCTACCAACTAGGAGCCACTGAGGGATGACCAACTTTTCTCCACGCTGGAGAAAATCTCAGCTCCTTTTTGGTACAAAAAATAGATGCCCCCAAATTTCCCAGATTAAAAAAGAAGAAAAACAAAACCAGTCAAACAAAACATAGTAGGGGAATAATAAAGGCCCAAAGGCAGTTGAAACCAAGAGCATGAGAACTGGTCTTCAGTAGGATGGAAGCTACTGGAAGGAGGGGAGGGGAAGGGAAGGGAACTGTGGTGGATGGAAGTGGTCACTCTGGGGGTCCCGGGCATGCTGAAAGGAGGTCAAGTAAGATGGTAAGCTACAGTGCCAAGAAGCAGCCAGAAAGTCAGAGGGCAGCAGAAACAAGTGCCTGTCTTAGAGTCATGCTGGGCTGTGGAGGACGTTGGGCACGCTGGTGGAAGGATTGGTGCTGAAACACTGTCTGCCCGAAACTCAACCATGAGTAACGTTGTAGCTTTATAATTCAAAGTGATTCAATGAATTAAAAAAATTAAAATACGTGACACACATTCATCCAATAATCTGTCCATGGGGTAGACAGGTCAGGGCTATTACTTCCCAGGAAATTGACTGCCATTGCCTTGGGAGGGGGTCTTTTCTCTCTGCCTGCCTGCCTACATCTCTGACTGACACAGTGCCGGGGAGACCATGAGTTGCTGAGACTGAACCCAGGGCACTCGCATGCAGAACATAACCTCCAGCTGTTTGAGCTGTTGGCCCAATGCTCATGGCCTTTGCTTTGGTTTTTTTTTTTGGGGGGGGGGGAACACCCTCTGAGGCAAGGGTCTGTGACTGCTCTGTGACTGGCCTGTTTTCCTGTGATAAGGACACAGTAGAGATATTCTTCTCGATAGGCTGAAGCCTGCGGGTGTGTGAGAGAGTAGCCTGGTCAGGTGAGGAGAGTGAGGTACAAGCCCCAAGACTGCGGTACTCAATGGTTCCTGGTTCTAAATATCTGACGTGAAGGACAGACATGCACTTGTCTGTGGGACTGTGAGCTGCCACCCCTCGCTCCTCCTCTTCCATCTGTCTCATTCTCAGGCGCTGAGGGTCCGCTCTGGGGCTGGTCCCTGGCGACCATCTGCAGTTGCAGGGACCACGCCCAAGTTGGCCAGGTTGAGGCAAGGGCCCTAACTCCTGTTCTGTCTCTCCGGGCCCCAGCCCTGGTTCTCAGCCACTGCAGATTCCTCTTTGTGTCACCATGCAGAAGAGCAAACAAGTGTGACTGCAGGGGTTGGAGGGATTCTCTCCAGCAGCTGAGTTTTGCTGGATGTGGTCCCCAAAGGGGTGCCTTCCTGGGTGGGCCCCCCAGGGGGGGTCGCCTCGACAATGGCATGAGTGATAGCACTGCATCCTAATCGCTGGTGATGATTCTGCAGCTGTAAAGAAGAAGGGCAGGTTTTACTATAAACCAGATTTCTGAAGACCTTGGTCTTCATTAGGGGCTACTTCTACTTTCTTGGTTGCTTCGAGTGACAATGTGTGTGTCAATGTGTGTGTGTGTATGTGTGTGTGTGTATGTGTGTGTGTGTGTGTGTGTGTGTGTGTGTGTGTGTAGGAAGGGGATATGAGGGGAGCCAGGCATTTGGCATTGAATATGGGACACTTGACCATCAGGGTCAAGGCCAGGAAATCTTCCACAACATCAAGTGATAATGCATGTGTGAGTATGTGTGTGTGTGTGTGTGTGTGTGTGTGTGTGTGTGTGTGTGTAGGGGGTGTGGGGGGGGCAGGCATTTGGCATTGGATATGGGACACCTGACATCAGGGTCAAGACCAAGAAATCTTCCACAAAATCAAGTGATAATGCATGTGTTAGTGTATGCGTGTGTGTGTGTGTGGGGGGGGGTGTATGTGTATGTGCGTGTATAGGGGGTGTGTGTGAGGGGTGCAGGAGGCATTTGGCATTGAATATGGGACACCTGACCGTCAGGGTCAAGGCCAAGAAATTTTCAACAATATCAAGTGACAATGTGTGTGTGTGTGTGGGGGGGGGGCTGTGAGGGGGGCCCAGGCATTTGGCACTGGATGTGGGACACTAGACTGTTAGGGCCAAGGCCAAGAAATCTTCAACAACATCAAGTGACAATGTGTGTCAGAGTGTGTGTGTGTGTGTGTGTGTGTGTGTGTGTGTGTGTTTTGGAGGGGGTGTCACTGTCACGAGGGCCCAGGCATTTGGCATTGGATATGGAACACTTGACCATTAGGGCTGTAGCAATAGTACAGCGGTAGGGCATTTGCCTTGCACGCAGCCAACATGGCCGACCCGAGTTCGATTCCTCCGCCCCTCTCTGAGAGCCCGGCAAGCTACCGAGAGTATCTCGCCCGCACGGCAGAGCCTGGCAAGCTCCCCGTGGCGTAAACACAGTAACAACAAGGTCTCCAATGGAGACGTTACTGGGCCTACTTGAGCAAATCGATGAACAACGGGAGGACAGTGACAGTGACAGTGACCATTAGGACCAAGGCCAAGAAATCTTCAACATCAAGTGACAATGCATGTGTGTGTGTGTGTGTGTGTGTGTGTGTGTGTGTGTGTAGCGTGTGATGGGAACCCAGGCATTAGGCATTATATGGGACACTTGACCGTCAGGGCCAAGGCCAAGAAATCTTCAACAACAGTCATGGAAGCTACAGGGTGAGGGGCTGGCCCACCACAAGAACCCCAGCACTTCCTGTTAGAACTGCACCCAGGGTTGTGCCTTCTGGTTCTGCCACCACCTGTGTTACCTTAGGTTACTGTGAGGTCTTACAGTCTGGGCTACCGCCCTCACTCCTCACTCCCCAGCGGTCCACTCCAGGCCAACTTCTATATTCACTTCCTCATCGCAAAAGGCTCATGTCTTGGGACTGGGAGTGAAAGTTCAGCCAAGAGGGCGTTTGCCTGGCAAGTGCTCAAACTGCATTCCACCCCTAGTACCCCAAGTGATAGCTTCCCTCTCTCCCAGCACCACCAGGAGTGATCCCTGAGCGCAGAGCCAGGAGTAACCCCCCCCCCCCCAGCACTACTGGGCGTGGTCCCCAAACCAACCCAAGCCAATGCCTCTTTTGCAAACCACAACACCCAAAAGGAGAGAGAGAACAAAAGGGAATGCTCTGCCACAGAGGCAGGGTGGGATGGAGGGGGATGTGGGGTGGGAGGGATACTGGGATCTGTGGTGGTGGAAAATGGTCACTGGTGGAGGGATGGGTACTCGATCATTGTATAACTGAAACCCAAGCACAAAAATTTGTAAGTCTACAACTGTACCTCATGGTGTTTCATTAATAAGGTAAAGGTAAAGGTAAAGGCCCTCCCGTTGTTCATCGATTTGCTCGAGCGGGCCCAGTAACGTCTCCATTGGAGACTTTGTTGTTACTGTGTCTGGCATATCAAATACGTCACGGGGAGCTTGCCAGGCTCTGCCGTGCGGGCGAGATACTCTCGGTCGCTTGCCAGGCTGGAGCGATAGCACAGCGGTAGGGTGTTTGCCTTGCACGCAGCCAACATGGCCGACCCGAGTTTCAGTAATAAAAATTAAAAAAAAATAGTACAGAGGGTTGGGTGCTTGCCTAGCACATTGCAAATCTGGGACGACACCCCGTATGGTCCTCGGAGCACCAGAAGAAGTGATACCTGTGTGCAGAGCCAGGATAAGCCCTGAGCACCCCCAAGGTGTGCCTCCCTCGCCCCCTCTCAATAACCCCCCCAAACCAAACCAAAGCAAACAAAACAAAACCAAAAAACCCCAATCCCAAAACAAAATCAGCAAAAACCCCAATGTAAAGTTTTGCTCATCATCACCTCTTGTTTGTGGAGAACACACTTTGGAACATTTGTAAGAGAACCAGCGTTTCCTGCCTCCAAGTCACGGTTGCTTTTGTTTCTCTTCAGGATTGGCTGAGGTCCCATGAAAGCACGTGACATCACTTGCAGAGCTGGGTACAAAACGACAGACAACCAACGGTCATACTAAGTCGCCAGGAACGTCAAACCTGGGACCCCAAGAGCATGCAACCTGGTGCCTGCACACAGTAGGTGCTAAATAAACGTTTGGTCCACTCCCCCCCCTCCCCCCCCCACCCTACCCCCGTGCGCAAGAAGATCTGAACAAGACACTTGCCCCTGCTTAAGTACACTTGCCAGGCCCTGGAACTGTCCCCTCAGAAACAATCATCCCGGGGTGCTTTGCCCAGACTGGGCGCCCTGGGACCACCGGAGACTCCGCTCGGCTGCCCCGCCCGCCCCACCCGGGAGGACCCTCTCGGGAGCGCCGAGGGCTGCTCCGCACCCCGGGGCGCCCCTTCCCAGAGGCCGGGGCCGTTGGAGCCGCCCAGCTGGGTGGCATCCTCGCCAGGGCCCCGGGAGTTCCCGGTTGCCGGGGAGACGCGTCGCACGCTCCGGGAGGCTCCAGCGCCCTGCCCGCCCCGAGCCCGCGATGAGCCGCGCCCCGCGCCCGGACCCGACTCGCGACGCCCCCCGCGCCCCGCCGCGCGCGCCCGAGGTACGGTCCGAGCGCCCCCGAGACACTCCGCACAGCGCCTGGCCACCTTGCGGACCTGTCCCCGCCCCGGTCCCCGTCCCGCGAGCGGAGCTACAGGCCCGCGGCCAGTCGAGCACGTCGGCCCCCTGTAGAGCAGCCGGGCCGGGTTTCTGACCCCCGCGGCTGGCCGGCTCAGCGGGACCCGCTGCTGATTTGCTCCCCTTGGTTCTGTGGCCTTTGCAGTTATCAGCGAGGCTGATTCGGACCAGCTGCTGCCTCACGCAGAGGGGCCGGCCGAGGTCTAGTGAAGCTGCCGAGCGCTGGCTGGTCACTCCAGAAGCGGCCTCAGCTGTTCTGGCGTCCCTTTAGGCTTCTACTCCCAGGAGACAGGTGCTGGGGACTTCGAGGCTCAGACATGCTAAAACAAACGCACACACACATACATGCACTGCACACAAGCACTCACACACTCGCACACGCATGCACGCACGCTCCCACCACACTCGCAGATGCATGCATGCATGCACCCACACGCGCACGCACACACTTGCACATACATGCATATACACACTCGCCCATACATGCACGCATGCACCCACCACACTCGCACACGCATGCACCCACATGCACATGCACACACTCGCGCATGCATGCACGCATACACGGATGCACCTATACGCGCACATAAACATTAGCACATACATGCATGTACACGCTTGCACATGCTTGCACGCATGCACCCACCACACTCGCACACACATACATGCATGCACCCACACACGCATGGGCGCGCACATACACACACTCACTCATGCACGCACACACAGATTCATGCGCGCATGCACATCCTCGCACACACGTGCACGCATGCACCCATACGCGCACGCAAACATTAGCATACATGCGTGTACACACTTGCAAAAGCATGCATGCATGCATGCTCCCACACGTTCACGCACACACTCGCACACACATGCACGCATACACCCACACGCGCACGCACACACAGACTCACGCACACACTCACAAACACATGCACACATATACACACACTCTTATGCACGCACACACATATTCTCGTGCACTCCTACACACAAGCAGGCACGCATGCAAACACTCCTGCACCCACACGCGCATGCACCCGCCCACACACATGCACACACATCATGCACTTATGCTAAAGCACGCATACACTCACACACGTCCTGACTCAGTCTTGTTAACTCGCCCCTTTGGATCCGGCCGCAGGGCCCCACCAGGCAGAGAGTGTGTCTGGGTAGTCGCTCAGAAGGGGGTCAGCTGTATTTTGTGGAATTGTAAACGTAAGCAGTGTCCCTTGTGCCATACTGACCGCATGCTCTAGTGGGGGGGGGGGGGGGAGACACACCGACATGTTGGAGGGATTAATTAGCAGCCCAGACCGGCTGTAGCTGTGAGCCAAGGGCGTTGCCTTGCACACACATACGAGAAGGTCTGCATCCGATGCCTGGCTCTGCAGGTCCGGCTTTAGGAACTCCCAGGTGCTTAAACAAAACAAACAAAAAAAACCCAAAAATTAAAACAACGGAAAATGTGCTAAGATGGTAAATTCTATATTACATGCATTTCATGACAATTAAAACATATTTGTTTTGTTTTGTCTTTTTGCTTTTTGGGTCACACCCGGCAATCCTCAGGGGTTACTCCTGGCTCTGCACTCAGGAATCACTCCTGGCGGTGCTCAGGGACCATATGGGATGCTGGGAATCAAACTCGGGTTGGCCGCGTGCAAGGCAAACACCTTACCTGCTGTGCTATCGCTCCTGCCCCTAAAATATATTTTTTAATCTTTCTGCTTTGTTTAAAAAAAAATAGCAACTGTGAGTGACCTTGCCTTCTAGAGAGTGACTGTGTGGGGTGGGCTGGGGTGCTGGGGATGGAACACAGGTGGGGTCTAGAGATGGAACACAGTTGGGGGTCCAGGGATGGAGCAAAGTTGGGGTCCAGAGATGGGATGCAGGTGGAGGTCTGGGGATGGGATGCAGTTGGGGGCCCAGAATGAATGCAGGTGGGGGCCCAGGGATGAGACACAGGGTCTCACCCAGGGAGGGGTTTGTTCTGACACTGATATAGGGAGAGTTCACTGATTCTAGGTATGTCTGTGGAAAATTTGTGCTTTTTACAGACATATGAATTATCTACACGTCACACTTCATTATCTACACGTCTGTTGTTGGACATTTAGGTTGACTGCCTTGCACGCGGCCGACCCTGGTTCGAATCCTCTCAGAGAGCCTGGCAAGCTACTCATGACATATTCGATATGCCAAAAACAGTAACAACAAGTCTCACAATTTGTTGTGAGACCTTACTGGTGCCCACTCGAGCAAATCAATGAACAATGGGAGGACAGTGCTACAGTGCTACAGATAAAACTGATACTGGACAGTGCTACAGTGCTACAGATAAAACTGATACTTTTCTTTGTGTGGTAATTCCATCTTTCCAGTGTAGTGAGACGCCCTTTATGAATAGAGAGTCTTAAGTGTAATAAAACATATACATGTTTTGTATGCGTGATGTGAGCTCTGGATTTGCTCTCCAGCAAGATAAATGGGGAGAGATGAGAAGGGGGAGTGGAGAGAGAGAGAGAGAAAGAGAGAGAGAGAGAGAGAGAGAGAGAGAGAGAGAGAGAGAGAGAGAAATATGGGGTCAGAGGGAGAACAGGGAGGTAGATAGTTTAAGGCATTTTCCTAGTAGCAGGTGGACACAGTTCACCCCCAAAACCCCATCTGGTCTCCTGAGCCCTGTCAGGAGTGATCCCTGAGAGCAGAATCAGGAGTAAGCCCTGAGCACCGCACCAGATTTGGTGACCCCAAGGCTGAATAAATAAAGAAAATTTAAAAAAAATGAAAATTATTTTATCTTTATGTTTTTTGAAAACTAGTACAATGTACTAGGTTCAATCCTGGCACTGCGTGGTCGCCTGATCACTGCCCAAGACAAGCACATTGAGAGGAATTTCCCGTCAGCCAGCTCTGGGGCCGAGAGCAGACTTGTCCCTGTTTGCAAATTCCTCCCTGTTTGCAGAAGCATTTCATAGCATCAGTTCCCAAGAATCTGGACGGCCAAGTCTGACGGAACAGCTGGCCACCACCTAGTCTGGATGGGCCTGCAGGGGGCCAGCCACCTTATGACGCCCTGTGCTGTCAGGTGTCAAGGGACACCAGAAATCCCAATCCAGGCTGTAGTGGCTGGTCCCTCGTTTTGTGGAGGGAGTTCACCAGGCACTCTTGGGAGAGGGGAAGATAGGGGGAGGGCCTTCTCCACGGCCTGTAAATGGGGCCCAAAGGCCACGAGGAGGGCAAGGGTGGACATCTGCCAGTGGCAGCTGTGCACAGATGCTTCATGGGCTTGACTATGGCTCTCACTCTGCTCTGGCTTCAGGCCTGTGAGATGCTATCCACTTTCTGTCCCCACTAATAAGAGACAGGCCCAGCCTAGGGATTGGGAGTGCCCTATGTCCCAGCTCTGTGCTCTAGCCAGGCCAGGCATGATCTCGGGGAAGCGGCCAGAGAGGCCAGAAGCAGGAGGCAGAAGAGTTTGGGAGAGAGCACGGGGAGGAGATAGTGCATGGGTAAACTCTTTCTAGAGACAGCCTGGAACAAGGAACATACCAAGAGCACAGGGAAGGCTGGGAGAAGGCAGCACAGGCAGCTGTGATTGTGGCCGCGAGCCGGCTCAAAGGGCTGGATCACATGCTTTGCATGCCTGAGCCCCAGGGTCCATCCCTCGTACCACTGGGTGTGATCAAGCCACCACCACCACCAGGGGAAAAATAAATCGATCGTATAAAGCATTCTCCTAACCCTGAAAGGGCCTTGAATATGGCACTTTAAAATCTCAGGGCTTGGGGCTGGAGCAATAGCACAGTGGGTAGGGCGTTTGCCTTGTACGCGGCCAACCCGGGTTCGATTCCCAGCATCCCGTATGGTCCCCTGAGCACTGCCAGGGGTGATTCCTGAGTGCAGAGCCAGGAGTAACCTCTGTGCATCGCTGGGTGTGACCCCCCCAAAAAATCTCAGTGCTAGGATGAAGGAGACATTACTGGGGCCTGCTCGAGGCAATTGATGAACAACAGGATGATTGTGATCGTGATAAAGCATTGTCAGTGCCAAGAGTCCAGTGCCCTTCTGAGCTCCAAAGGCCACTCAGCTCAAACTCCAGCAGCCGCAGAAGGAAGGCACTTTGTTCCTTCCTATGACAGGCGGGAACAGAGATCTTGAGGGCAGGGCGAGGGCCCAGGGTCACAGCAGAGCCAGCCTTCAGCTCAGACTGCTGATCCTGAGCTACCCTGAAATCCTCTCTGCTGTTTCCCAAAAAAAGGTGCACCAGAGGACAGGAAGACGGCTCAAAAGCTTAGAGTGTGCTGGGCGCAAGCCCAGAGCACTGAACTAGGGGACCAGAGAGGATATAACTGGGACAGGGTTCACCTTGCACAGAGCCAACCCAGGTGCAATACTTGACACCCTGTATGGTCCCCCAAGCTCTTCCAGTAGTGATCCCTGAGCGTTGCCGGGTGTGACCCAAAAACAAACTAAAAGAGCCTCAGCTCAGAGCACTGAGAAGTACCTCCTGGTGTGAATGGCCAAGCAACAGAAAATAAGGAGCTCGAGAGACAGTACAGCAGACAAGGTGTTAATATGCCTTGCACGGTGCTGACCTGGGTTTGATCCCAAGAATCCCATATAATCCCCTGAGCCCTTCCAGATGATCCCTGAGCACAGAGCCAGGACTAACTCCTAAGTACAACCAGGTATGGCTCCCCTGAAAAAGGAAGAAAAATAAAAATAGGAACCTAGGATGGAGATGTGGTACAGTCTCATATGTGAGAGGCCCTGATTCCATCCTCAGGACCACAAGCTGCCCCAGCTCTCTCACTGTGTTATGATAACAGTAATGGGGACAAAATAGCACAGTGATAGGGCGTTTGTCTTGCGTGCAGCCAGCCCAGCCAAACTGGGTTCAATTCCTCTGTCCCT